AGAACCCTGTCAGTGAGTGAGGGCAGATCTGGCATCCCATGATCTTGACCACATCCTTCAGTGCCCTGGGTGTCCCTGGTGACCCCCTGTGGACCAATTCAAATTTGTCATCCCATATTTTAAATATGATCCATGGTTGGCAAAAGTACTACCTGCTTGCCAAGCTGTATACCTGCCTTCACCAAGAAGTGGTACCTTTTATTAATTTATGTAAAGGTACTATATGACTCAGCAGAAAACCTAATTATGCATACTTTAAAAAGTGCTGAAGTCAAGTCAGTATCTTTGCTGAAATCACTTGGTTGTGGAGTATGTTTGCGTTAAACTTTTACAGAGCATTGCTATATTCACCTCGAATTTTGTCGTACTAATCTATGCTGTCATGATCAGTATATGAAAATTCTCATTCCCTCATATTCCTTAACCACTTCATGTTGTCATTATTTTTACTTTTCCTAATCTAAAGGTTTTGAAATGGGAATCCAGTTTTGTTCTGTTTACAACCTCCTCAGCAAGGGCATTTGTCCCAGCAGTTAAGCTGCTGGTGAGGAAGACTACGTTCAATTTCAGAGTACCTTGGTTTTGTTTTTTCCTGATTCTACCTCCTGATCCTAGCTTCCTGCTTGTGTGAACGCAGGCAGGCAGTACTGATGGCTCATGTTGTTGGGTTCCTGTCACCCATATGGGAGACATTGATTGAGTTCCTGTCTGTCAGCTTCAGCCCCATCCAGCCTCAATTGACATGGGTGTTTTTGAGGTTGAACCAGATGATGGACTCCCCTCTCCTTCCCATAAATACATGAAAACTAGGGGCCGGTGCCGTGGCTCATTTGGTTAATCCTTTGCCTGCAGCGCTGGCATCCTATATAGGTACTGGTTCTGTCCCAGTTGCTCCTCTTCCAGTCCAGCTCTCTGCTGTGGCCTGGGAAGGCAGTGGAGGATGGCCCAAGTACTTGGGCTCCTGCACCCACATGGGAGACCAGGAGGAAGCACCTGGCTCCTGGCTTCGGATAGGCGCAGCACTGGCTGTAGCGGCCATTTGGGGGTGAACCAACAGGAGGAAGACCTGTCGCTTACTGTCTAACTCTACCTGTCAAAAAAATACATGAAAACTAAGAAAAAAATCTTGCTACTAAACACACACATACATGCAGAGGCATATGTAAATCCTCTTCATATCATGTCTGATCAAGTTCCATGGAGAAAAGCAAGTGATGACCAAATCTAGAGTCAGTGGGATGGGGAGATACACTGCACTTAAAGGGGTAGGGAGGAGTGGAGAATGAATATTTATGGAACAATTACTCAGTGTATCATAATTTCTATTAAGCCTATTCACACCCTTGTACATAGTTTCTTCCTTTAGTCCTCAGTTACCCCATTAGGGTGTGCCATGTGTTTTTTTGTTGGGACCCTGATTGATACTATACTCTTCTCACAAATTTCTAGACCTTTAACAAATCTCTGATGATCATACGTTAATCCCCTCCACTTCTTAGAGCACCATGTTTCTTTCCTTTTTTGCATGTGCATTCCTCTTTCCCCCAAAAGGACCTACTTCATCTCTGAAATCAACATTTTCTCATCTATTGTGATCTACTAAGTCTATTTCTATATTTTTCCTCATACTTAGCTTACGTGTGTGTATGTGTCTACATGTGCATTCATATGTAGGCCTTTTTGGGTTAATACATATTTAACAAAAATAGGCCACATTATACACTTTTTTGCATATCAAATTTTTAAATAAAACCTTGTAAAAAATCTCTGAAACAGCTAGCATAGGTCTGTTTTATTCCTGAATTATAAACTTATTTGATGATCATTAAGCCTTTTTACTGTAATGTAAATTTAAAATATGTTGTCTCAAAAACTAAAAAAAGAAAGGGAGGAAGGGAATATCATATTCTTAAAATTGTCTATGAACTATATTGAACCTGTTAAAAACTAATTAAAATTTAAAATAAATTTTAACAAAAATATAATAAAAAAATAAAATAAATTTTAACAAACGCTGAATTATATTCCGTGGTGTTGATTCCATTCACATATTGATGAGTGAAGTGGATGCTAGGATGGGCTGCCAAGATCTTACATTTAGGACTGAAGCATTTCTTCCCTGAATGAAGGATGGGTGGACTGCTAATGGTTACAGATGGATCAGTCCCCAAGAACTGCTAGTGGTAGGAAGGGTACATCATTTCTCCATACAGAATCATACCTAATGCCTGGTTATTATGGAGGGACAAAGACCTCGCTCAGTCTTTACCTACCACCTCACATACTCTGGAAAAACCAAACAAATTAGAGAAGTAAAGCAGAGTTGGATGCACAACCTTTTTACGTTTTATTCATTTATTTTTTAAAGATTTATTTATTTATTTATTTGAAAGGCAGAGGCATAGAGAGGCAAAGGCAGAGAGAAAGAGAGAGACAGAGAGGTTGTCCATCCTCTGGTTTACTCCCCAGATGGCCACATCTGCCATAGCTGGGCTGATCCAAAGCCAGGAGCCAGGAGTTTCTTCTAGGTCTCCCACACAGGTGCAGGGGCCCAAGGACTTGGGCAATCTTCTACTGCTATCCCAGGCCATAGCAGAGAGCTGGATCGGAAGTGGAGCAGCCAGGACTAGAACCGGTGCCCAAATGGGATGCTGGCACTACAGGTTGTGGCTTTACCCTCTATGCCACAGTGCTGGCCCCCACAACGTCTTTGTAACACAAGGGTGTTAAAAAGGAAAACTGTTGAAGTGAAATGGACACTATGAGAAACAATGACTTGATCAGCCCTTGTCCTGACTGTTGATGGACACCTTAGTACTTTATCCCTTTTAGTATTTTTTTGTCATACTTAACACCAAGGGTTAAACTCTGTAATTAACACACAATTATTCTTAGGTATTTAAATTTAACTGAAAAGTGATCACTGTTCAATATAAGAGTGGGAATAAGAGAGGGAGGAGAGATACAATTTGGGACATGCTCAATCTGACTTGCCCCAAATGGTAGTTAGAAACGTGCCAGGGGACTCCAATTCAATCCCATCAAGGTGGCATGTACCAATGTCATCTCACTAGTCCAAGTCATCAGTTTCAGTTCACAATTGATCATAATGATAGGTCTAAAAGTCAAAGAGATCACATAAACAAGACTAGTGTCTGCTAATACTATCTGATAGAATTAAGAAGGAGAGAACGATCCAACATGGGAAGCGGGACACACAGCAGACTCATAGAATGGCAGATGCCCTAAACTGCACTCTGGCCTCAGAATCAGCCCTTAAGGCATTTGGATTAAGCTAAAAGACCCATGACAGTATTTCAGGCATGGAAAGCCAAGACACTCTGGCTTCAAAAAAAAATAAAGACTGAAATGAAAGGTCTCTGTAGTGAGACCTCAGTGGAAAGAATGGGCCATCAAAGAAGGAGGTACTTTTCTCTGAAGGGAGGAGAGAACTTCCACTTTGACTATGACCTTGTCTAAATATGATCGGAGTTGGCGAACTCAAAAGGCTTCCATAGCCTTGGCAACTCATGACAAGAGCCTACGGAGATTACTGACACCATAAACAAGAGTGTCAATTGTTAAATCAACAACAGGAGTCACTGTGCACTTACTCCCTATGTAGGATCTCTGTCCTTAATGTGTTGTACTATGTGAATTAATGCTATAACTAGTACTCAAACAGTATTTTACACTTTGTGTTTCTGTGTGGTGCAAACTGTTGAAATCTTGACTTAATATATACTAAATTGATCTTCTGTATATAAAGATAATTGAAAATGAATCTTGATGTGAATGGAATGGGAGAGGGAGCGGAAGATGGGAGGTGTGCAGGTGGGAGGTAAGTTATGGGGGGAAACAGCCACTGTAATCCATAAGCTGTACTTTGGAAATTTATATTTATTAAATAAAAGTTAAAAAGAAAAAAAAATAACACAAGGGTGTTGTCCTATAGTCCCATTAGAGAATCATTTGACTCTACTACAATGTCTAAATTTGAGCAGAGGATTTTTTTTGCAATACTATACTTATCAGAAATTAGCCTACAGATAAAGTAAAATGTAACAACTTCTATTTTGCCCATTATAGATACTTAAAATTCATTTTGCAGCTCATTGAACATATACATGGCTAGATTAATCAGAAATCTGCACTCTATTCTCCATTACCTTCTCATTAAGAATTCTGTAAATATGGGCCAGCGCCGTGGCTCAATAAGCTAATCCTCCACCTTGTGGCGCTGGCACACCGGGTTCTAGTCCCGGTCGGGGTGCCGGATTCTGTCCCAGTTGCCCCTCTTCCAGGCCAGCTCTCTGCTACGGCCCGGGATTGCAGTGGAGGATGGCCCAAGTGCTTGGGTCCTGCACCTGCATGGGAGACCGGGAGAAGCACCTGGCTCCTGGCTTCGGATCAGCGCGGTGCGCCGGCTGCAACGCGCCAGCCGCAGCGGCCATTGGAGGGTGAACCAACAGTAAAGGAAGACCTTTCGCTCTGTCTCTCTCTCTGTCACTGTCCACTCTGCCTGTCAAAAAAAAAAAAAAAAAAAGAAGAATTCTGTAAATATAAAAGGATTTTTTCAAATTCTCTATGGAATTGTGATAGTTCTTTAATACATCTCTAGTTAAATAAAATGTTGACCAAAAATGTGTGGGATTTATGGTTTGTAACAATGTGAGCTTTGTGTTTTCAAGTTGCTTTTAAAAATAAGAAAATCTACTTTAAAAAAATAAACATTCCCATTAACTTTCATATCGCCTTGGTCAAGAGTGTATCAAATTCTACTTCTCAAAGGGACAGAGAAATAACTGTTCAGAATAGTTATCATATGGAATTGGATGGCTACAAATAGTTTCTCAATCCTAAAACCACCATAGAATTCAATCTTTTATTTGTAATGCAATTCAGCATCAGCCTTATAAAATCAGGGCCCAGGGCTTTGATCAAGACATAGAGCCCATTTTCAGAACCCGAGAGGGAAAGACATATTCATTGAGACTCAATTCCTTTGTTAATAGTTTGACATTTATTGAAAGTACGTAAAGGTTTTTGTACAGGTAGTAGAGAAGAGCCGGAAAGAGTGCAGGGGTTACTGTGTTGAACAAAAGGCACACATTAGAAAGACAGCTGCACATTCAGAAAACGGGATTCTTGGGAAAACTAATTGGTCCACAGGAGAATATGAGTGCCAGGAGTGCCAGGAGAACCCAGGTTCTGGCAGACATCTAGCAGGAACACAAGGTGTCTCTGGGAGAAGGGGGCGCAGCCTCACTCATGGTGGAAGGCCGGCTGGCCCCGCCGGGCAGCCGGCTGTCGGAGTCGGGGTCCGAGGGCCGCGGCCAGCCCAGACCCCTCGGAGGGGAGTCCAGGTGGCTCAGAAGAGCAGTCTGTCGGCGGGAGGCCGGGGGCGGCGGCTGCGGCGGCTGCGGCGCAGGTGCGTGGGCAGAGCGATGCGGGCTGGCGGGGGGCGGCCGGCGGTGCGTGGTTGGTCGTCGGCCGCGCGGCGGGGGCCCAGCCTGCAGCCCGAGGGCCGGACGGCGGCCCCCGGTGCAGGGCACAGGCCGGGCCGGCGGCAGCGGGCAGGGCGGCGGCGCTGTCCAGAGCCAGGCCCAGAGGCAGCAGCGCCAGCCTGGAGCGCTATTCCTGGAACAAAGGCAAGCACGACGCGGGCGGGCGGGCGGGGGCGAGGGGACGCCGCGGCGACTCGGGGAGCAGGGGGGCGGCGGGACTCGACTCGGGCGCGAGCGCGGCGGGGGCCGCCCGCGGCGACCCTGGCGGCGGCCGGCGGGCAGCCCACCCTCCCCAGGGCAGCCGGCCCCGGGCCCGAGGCTCCGGCGGCCTAGAAGTCCTCGTCCTCCTCCCAGCCAAAGACGCGCTTCATCTCGGCCAGAAAGCCCCGGTAATCACTGAGGAGGGGACTGTCCTTCTTGATGTAGGGGATCACCCACTGCAGGGCGGGCCCCGTGAGGCGGGTGATGAGGAACGTCACCTTGAGCGCGTCGCTGGAGAACGTCTTCTCGTCCACGAACATGTAGGAGCCCGTCTGCACGATGAACTCCGGCAGCCGGTCGGTGTCGCCGTCAAACGTCTCGGGAAAGGGGATCGGGTTCCTCCAGCGACGCGCCGCGGGCCGCAGCGGCCGGGCCAGCAGGGCCTTCACGAGCCGCATGCGATTGTCCATCGCGCCGAGCTGGCTGGCGGGGCTGCGCGGAAGGCTGCGCTCGGGCGTCGCGGCGAGGACTCGTCGCGGAGGCGGGCCCGGGGAGGGGCGGGTGTGGGCGGAGTCACGCGCCGGGCTGCGGGCGGCGCGCGGGCCCGCTCACCAGGTCGAGTGGTCGTCACGGCGCAAGCGCGTGTCGGGAGCCAGTCGCTGCGGGGGGAGAGGGAGGCGCGGCACGGGGCGCGATAGGGGCGGCCGGGGGCGTGGCCCGCTCTGCAGGAGGGCCGACTTGGAGGCTTGAGGGGGCGGTCCCAGGCGGGCGGCGTGCGAAAGGCGGGCGAAAGGCGGGGAGCCGCGGAGGAACGCGTCACCTCAGATGCGTGTGGCGAGGCTGGGGTCTGCTGCTCTTGGACAGCTTCTGGTTCCACTTGGGGAAGTTAGCGAGTCCTGGGGCGTCGCCCTTCGTCCTCCCTCACTCCGCGCCCTTGCGCATCCCTTTGCGGACCTGGGCTCTGGCTGCCTTTTGAGGGAGGGTCTCTCAACACATGGTGCAACTCGGTCGTCCAGCTTCCTCTGGAGGTCCCAGGCAGGTGCAGGGGCCCAAGGACTTGGGTCATCTTCTACTGCTTTCCCAGTCCATATAAAAGAGCTGGATCAGAAATGGAGCAGCCAGGACTCTAACTGGCGCCCCTATGGGATGCAGGCATGACAGGTGGCTCCTTTACCTACTATGCTACAGTGCGGGCCCCAAAATTAATTTGCTTATTGCTACTTTTATAGGTATGGAAAATTACCTGTTGAAATGTGCAATTTGGTTAAGACCCAATGCGAAAAGCAATTTAAAAGAAATTGGCCAAGAGGGAAAAATTCTAACAACACAATAAGAACCCTAAAAACTACAAAACAATACTGAACGAAATGTAGAGACATTCTGAGATTTGTTAACTTACCCTCATAAAGATACTAACTTTCCCTAACTAAATGGAGGACTGGTGGGCTTAGATGCTTCACATTCTGTTCCAGGTAGCTGTTGTCCCATACTGACAAGGTGACTCAAATGTTGTGTCTCTACCTGTTTGCGTTCTAAGGCTGACTGTACTCCATATGACTTTCAGTGCAAAATATTTCTTGCGGGTCTGGCTAATGCAAAAGTGTCCCCCCCCCAAAAAAATTGTGGAACGTGTTGCCCCACTCAAATTCAGCTGGCACAGTACAAATACATCACAATTGTGGTGGTCAGCCAATACACTACAGGATGGGATTGGTTTCCTTGTAAGAGACGCTATGCAACTTTCTCTCTGTCCATCATGTGAGGACACTGCAAGAAAGTTAGTGTCTGTAAGCCAGTTCTCACCAAAACCTGGACATGCTAGCATCCTGATCTTGGATTTCCAGCCTTCAAAACTCTGAAAAAATATATTTCTGTCATTTAAGCCACCCAATCTGTGGCATTTTATCATGGCAGCTCAAGCTAAGACACTCAGTTATTCATTTCTTGAGAAATTCTTTAAAAAATAATTTATCAGGAGAAAATAATTTTCAGGCATAAATATATTCAAAGCAAGAAAATCCATAATCTACAAACAAAACAAAGTAAATATTCAATGAGGTAATAGCCTACATATTATTATTCATTAATATAATTGAATTATATGCGGCCATTAAAATAATTATGGAAACTAAAGAGAGTCCAAGATGCTTTAAGAAATTATTAAGTCAGAAAATACAGTGAAGGGGCCAGTGCTCTGGTGTAGCGGGTAAAGCCACTGCCTGCAGTGCCTGCATCCCATATGGGCGCCGGTTCGAGTCCTGGCTGCTACACTTCTGATCCAGCTCTCTGCTATGGCCTGGGAAAGCAGTGGAAGATGGCCCAAATCCTTGGGCCTCTGCATCCACGTGGGAGACCTGGAAGAAGCTTCTGGTTCCTGTCTTCGGATCAGCTCAGCTCTGGCCATTGCTGCCATCTGGGGAGTGAACCAGCAGATGGATGACCTCTCTCTCTCTCTCTCTCTGCTTCTCCTTCTCTCTGTGTGTAACTCTGACTTTCAAGTAAATAAATAAATCTTTTAAAAAAAAAAGAAAATGCAGTCAAATTATGTATGGTTCTTAAAGCTATGCCAACATTGAAATAAATGTGTAGCAGCACCAAATGTCTGATGCTATGAAGTGGCTGCCAAGTGCTATAGTACATTTCCAGTCCCTTTTACATCTCCCTGAGTCTATGCAGTTATGTTCTGATAAAAGGAATGAGTGTAGAATTTCCACACATGTCTCAGAGAATAACAAAAGAGAACATTTTACAATGGACTTTATAAGACCAACAAAACATGACATGAAAACCTATCTTGGGCCGGCAACCACGGCTCACTAGGCTAATCCTCCGCCTGCAGCGCCGGCACCCCGGGTTCTAGTCCTGGTTGGGGCGCTGGGTACTAGTCCTGGTTGCTCCTCTTCCAGTCCACCTCTCTGCTGTGGCCTGGGAAAACAGTGGAGGATGGCCCAGGTGCTTGGGCCCCTGAACCCGCATGAGAGACCAGGAGGAAGCACCTGGCTCCTGGCTTGGGATCAACACAGCGTGCCAGCCGTGGTGACCATTTGGGGGGGTGAACCAATGGAAGGAAGACCTTTCTCTCTCTCTCTCTCTCTCACTGTCTGTAACTCTACCTGTCAAATAAAAAAAATTTTGAAAAAAAAACCTACCATGGACATAATGAAGCAGGAAAATTACAGATCAGTCTCATCCATAAACACAGATGCAAAAATCTGAAAAAACATTAAAATATAGTGTCTTGTAGCATATAAGAGATTATAATATATCACAACCAACTTTGGTTTATTCCAGGGCTGTGGAGTCTAAAATAAATCAATGTAATCCATCATATAAAATAGAAAAGTGTGGTAAATCATTCATATGATTATTTCTCTAGATCCAGACATAAAGCATTTCCTACATTTCAACTACAACTCATGACAACTTAGAAAATTTGAGAAATTATGAAACGTTATTATTCTGACAAAATACAAATGTAAAAATTTACAAGGGGCAGTACACATCATGGGAAATTGTTGAAAATTTTTTCCTTTAATATAAAGAACGAAACAAGGATGCTTGATATCACCGTTTTGTGGAAAAATTATCCAAGAAGCTCAAGCCAATACAATAAACAAAGAAAATGAAATATATAAGGATTGGAAGGGAAGAAAATACGATTGCATACAGACTACAAAATGCCGTACATATAAAAACCGTAGCAAGGTACAACTGTATTTTTAGAATATATTAATAAGTTTAGGTAGTGTGTTAGATTGCAAAGTCAAAGTACAAAAATCAGTTGTATTGCCATATACCTTCAAGAAATGGAAAATAAAGCATAAAAATATTTTTTACAATAGTATCAAAGCATCACAAGTGCAGAAACATTTTTGAAATAGTGAGAAAAACCAAAAAAGCAGATTATTCATGGATTGAAATCTCAATATAATACAGATGTCAATTTTCCTTTAGCATTTAAGTAGTATGTTACTGATACAAGGATCATCAAGAAGATGGAAGGAGTTAGAATAAAAATCTCTAGAGCAACCTGTGCATATATGGATATTTGATTTTCAAAGTTGGCATTTGTTGTACAACAATAAATGATAATGGGGAAATAGAATATTCACAAGAAGGAAAATAAATGACCTTATTTCACACTGTACACAAAAATGAATTCCAAGTAGTTTAGAGAGCTTGATGTAAATGACAAAAATAACAAAATTTCTATGACATTGGACTACTTTCATGATCTCAGAATAGGAAAAACTTTTTTAAAGATACAGAAGCACTAACTATAAAAGAGATATAAATTTAACTACTTTTAAAATAAATACATCTCTTTATCAAATTAATATGAGTGAATATTCATCAGTACACCATGAATGAATGAAAACACGAGTAAGATATGATATTCACAAATCATATAACAAATGGTAGTTCCATATATACAATAAATTCGTTTAAAAGCCACATTCAAATCTATAAGAAAAAGATAACCAAAAGAAGAAAGGTGCACAAAATATTTGAAGAGGCATGTTAAAAATCCAAACAGCTGATAAAATTATATAAATATGTTTTAGCATGATTATTAGTGATTCAGGAAATGCTAGTTCAAAGCACAAGGAGACATTATTAATTTTAATTATCAGAATGGTGAAAAATTTTTAAATTGACAACACCAAGTGTGAGCAAGGATATGAGGCAACTGAAGCTTTTACACACTGCTGATGGAAATATAAAAGTTTATAACCATTTTAGAAATATCTGTCAATGTCTTGTAAAGTTAATTACATAGCCCAACAACTCTACTCCTAGATATTTAAGAGAAGTGAAAACCTACAGCCACACACAAGTTGTTACATAAATGTTTATAGCAGCTTCGTCTACAATAGTTCTAAATTAGAAATAACCAAAATGTCTATTAACATATGATTGGTTAAACAAAACCTAGTTTATCCATATAATAATATGTTAATCACAAAACCATGAAAAAACTCCTAAGGAAGGCAGGACAGATGAATTTCAAAATTATTACAATGAGCAAAGTTGTGTATTTGTCAGCTCTACATTACAATAACTAATATACCTGAGAGGAGACTCAGAATGGAGATGGTTTATTTTGGCTCATGGTTTTGGAAATTCAATCCAAGATTAGGCAGCTCCATTTGTCTGGCGTCTCATACGGGTAGAACAAGTACAGAGAGATCACATGGTGATACAGGAAGCAGAGAGGGAAGCTAGCCTAAACTTTGTTTATATGACAAACTCTCTCAAGAGAACTACCTTCCATGGGCAAGCCCTCAATGACCTAAAAACCTCTCACTCTGGCCAGCGCCGCAGCTTACTTGGCTAATCCTCCGCCTGCGGTGCCGGCACACCGGGTTCTAGTCCCGGTTGGAGCACTGGATTCTGTCCCAGTTGCTCCTCTTCCTGTCCAGCTCTCTGCTGTGGCCCGGGAAGGCAGTGGAGGATGGCCCAAGTGTTTGGGCCTTGCACCCGCATGGATAACCAGGAGTGGGTACTTGGCTCCTGGCTTCAGATCGGCGCAGCGCACTGGCCGGCAGCACGTGGGCGGCCACTGGGGGGGTGAACCAACGGAAAGAAGACCTTTCTCTCTGTTTCT